AATCAAAGAGATCACTGGAAAAAAAAAAACACATTGGATCTAGAGTCCAGACTTTTGAAAACATCGACAAGAAAAAGGATTCTTGATTCAATCAGATTTAAGCTTAAATCGAAAGGAAATCCGCTCAAATTAAGAGGCTTGGTTCTTGATTTAAGCTTAGATCTGATTGAATCAAGAATATTTTTTCTTGTGGATGTTTTTAAGAGTCTGAACGCTAGATCCAGTGTGTTTTTTTTCCTTGAATACGATTTCCCCAAACAGAATGATCTCTGATTTTTCTTTTTCCCTCATTAGTTGAGAAGGTCCTAGCACATCGATTCTCTATGACGCTATGCCAAAAATAACAAGTATAAATTGGACCGTATTTAGCAATAAGGAACTCTACTTTCTGCCTCTTTTTAAAAACAGCGGATGCACCATTATTTTTCCTACGTACATGAGTGTTTTTACAGATGAGTCAGAAGTTGTAGTTCCTGATCGCAAAATTAAGCCCAGTTCGTCGCTCCTCTGACGTTAAGGTTATCTTAATTTCCACTTGAGCCCTGTTTCACATACAAATCCATGCTTTTTGGGGCTCATGCCGAAATCGAGAACTCTTACGTCAGCGAACCCTTCATTGAGTCGTTATCGACTGATCCTGGTCGATAAATCCCTATCTTAGCAGTGTTATTTATCGATCAAGGTCGTTGGGTAACGATTCAACGATCCAGGCGACATATTCTGGCTTTTGTAAACACACAGTCCAATAAGAGACGTAAGGTTTTTATGAAATGAGGCATTTTCCGGTAAAAGGGCGTATGTGAATTCCAATGCTGCTAAGATTGCGCAACATTGTTCTTCAGTTAAGAGTAACTTATTCACCAGTTCTGCTAAGAATTTTTCCCTGCGAATTTGCCCCGAGTTTTTCCTCACTATAGTAAGGAAAAAAGTCGAATGAGAATGAATTTAATCTGCAGTAAAAACTTTATAAAATTACACGATCCTGGCAACATTGCAAGCCTCATACGTCCTATTACCAAAAAATGCCTCAAATTTTGAATTGAGGAATCTTACGAAGATTAATGAAAGTTCATCGTCACGTTAAAACTACAAACTTCAAACTAAGAACTTTCAAAACTTCAGGAATTGACTTGAAAGGCATTAAGCGCACAGGAAAAATTAGGTCCATATTAAAATTTTGGAGATGAAAAAAAAAAAAAAAAAAAANCTTTTTTTTTTTTTTTTTTTTTGGAGGATGACAATACTTCCTCTCTACCCTATGGGAGCGAGAAAGTAAAAAGGGAAGAAAGAAAAAATCAGACACCAGGCCCAGCAGACCATCCATTGGCGGACGTAGGGAAAATTAGTGGCGCCCTCTATCGACAGAGCTTCCGAACTCGATGCGCGGAGGCCGGCCGCCCCGACGATTCAACCCGGTGTCGCTCCCTAACGGCGGCTGCTGAAACTACACTTCAGGAAAAGGGCGGCAAGCTGAGGAGCTTCTCAGACTTTCCGTCGTCGGCGGGTCGCTGAACCCACCCTCCGACCGCCGGCGCCGGCCGCAATTCCGTCATTTTGACGTGAAATGAGCTATTTGAAGGGCTGATCCTTTAGAAACGGCTCACCAGACCGGCCGGATCCCGTTGTGATTATCCCATCAACCAATGTCCCCAGGAACGAAAATTACCTCTCAAATGGAACGCGGAAAATGATTCAAGGACTGAGAGGGTCGTAACTTATCCCCTGTGTAAAGAGTCTTAAAAGAGTACCCCTTTTCGGGAACTTGAGGATTTCGTTCAAATGTGTCCTAAACGAAACCTTCCCAAGTAAATGTTTTTTTTTTTCTTTTTTTCTTGAGTGTAGGGAGCATTTCCGCGCAAGATATTGAGTAATTAAACTGTTTAAAAAAAATTCACCCACTTGCGACAGTCGAATATTATCGGGTAGACGCGTTTCGAGCAGTGGCGTGGCGTGAATTGCGATGAATCGATTGTTCTGCCATTTAAACCTATGGTGAAGAATCGATTGTTGAGGTGTTCGCTGCGAACAGCCTGTTTATCGATCCTTTCCCATAGGTTTAAATAGCATAACAATCGATATATCGCACAGCGCGCCACGCCACTGGTTTCGAGCGGGCGGCTCATCATCGGTGCGACTGATTACTTAATTACTTCTCAAGTAGCATTTTTCAAAGGAAAAATCGCGATGTTTTGAGCTTAAATTGCCATTTTGTTTACGATTTTTCGGCGATGATATTGCTAGGACCATCAGCACATGAGCGATTATCCTCAATCTTTTTCCAATTTTATCGTTATAAAATCGAAATTTTATCTCAATTTATAACGATTTTTTGTTCCATTATATTGCGATAAATCGCCGTCGATATAAGCGCGATTTTATTGCAAATTTGTGGGATGAGATTTCAATTCATCGCAATTTTTTATCCGCTAATATTGCGATAAACCGATAATGTCGATCAAATTTCTCGATATTTTCTCGCTCCGATCAAATCGCTGCTACTTTGGTTGCGTAGAGACACGCCTACAGCCACCAGCTTGCCTTCAAAGTTCTTTTGGGCAATGCGGCGTTGCGAAGTAAATAATTGCTTATATTCTGCGGTTTCTCAGTTAGAAAAAAAACTTAAGTTGGTCCGTGTCAGAGGAACTACAAAATATTTGCATTTTTTTAATGGTAAATCGAGCGCTGTTTCGCCAAAACTGGCTTTGAGCTCAAGCTACAACTTTCCCTGGAGGATTGATTCATCATTAGGTTTCGTTCAGGATACAGTAGGAAAAAATCCCTCAGTTTCTAAAAACGGGCACAGAGAGGGTTTTTTTAGACAGGCTCTTTTATGCCAAGAATATGCCGGTTTCGTCCACAGATCATGCGGTAAGCTATGATTTTCAAACTTCAGCCATTTCCTGAACGAAAAAATTCTCATTTCCCATTAGGCTGAAGTTTGCGACAGACCTACAGATTGAGAATCGGTGATTTCGGGCTTACCCTGAGATGGGTAGCCTGTTTCATGCCAACAGACCGACTGCACTGCGTTTGGCGCAATGCGAAAAGTATTCATGCAGTCTTGTAGGCGCTAATATGGGCTTTGCGTCGACCGTACTGTTTGGCGCAATGCGTGAAGTATTCCTACAGTCTTGTAGGCGTTAATACACATTAAATATCTCAGTTTCTAAAAACGGGCACAAAGAGGGTTTTTTTTAGACAGGCTCTTTTATGCCAAGAATATGCCACTTTCGTACACAGATCACGCGGTAAGCTGTGATTTTCAAACTTCCGCCATTTCCTGAACGAAAAAATTCTCATTTTCCATTAGGCTGAAGTTTGCGACAAACCTACAGATTGAGAATCTGTAATTTCGGGCTTACCTTGAGATGGGTAGCCTGTTTCTCCGGATCGGTTTCGACCGTCTCCAGGGCGGATTCTGTTTCGGACAGCCAAGCCAGGAATTTATCTAGAGACCTGTCTAGATTGTGCAGCGAGTTTATTGCCGAATGCAGTAGTTCGCCACGCTTCACGATGCTGAAATCAGAAAATCAAACGTTCACTCTCAAAATGGACCAATAGCCAAGGTGCGAATTTTGGAAAATTATATATTAATTAAAGAATCAAATATTGCGAAATTGGAAACCTGTTTCAAACTTCCCACCAAAACGGAGAAAACTAACGTAACTCGCCGTCTCCTTCACGAAAGAACGTAACTACAATTCAATGTTGCCAAATTTTCCCTTGTAAATTTCATTATCATACCTGGAAAATCTTCGGCATTTTTTACTAAAAAATTCACTGGTTTTACCCCTGATCTCATACACAAACCAGGGAAATTATTGTAATCTTCCGCCGCATTTCTAAGGCGCAATGATACAACTATTTGAACTCTCCGGAATGCGTGAGGTATCACGCCGCATTTGAAGGCGTTTTCAAAATAGCCAAGTTCCAATACCCGGATTATCGTTTTGAAAAGTTCCTATTATTATGTTTTATTTCCTACCATTTGTTTGTTTTCAATCATCCTATAAAAATTACCTCATTGCTATATACAATTCTAGCTGAAGCGCATTTAAGCTATGCATTCATGACTGCAAAAATGTCAAAGGAAATCGACAAGCCCAGCGTGCATTGAGGCTATTTCAATATTGTGGACGAAAATTAAAAAATGGACCACTGGACAAGGTACGAATTGCAGCATTCTGATACATGCTTCTTAACCAAAATTTCACGTAAAACACTATGCGCACAACGAAAACTACCAAAATCAACTCCTTACGAAGATATTCAATAATTCTTGATGCGTGAATTCAAACCACCCGCTCATGAAAACTCAATGCTCTACGTGATTCACATCGCGCGTTAAACTTTTATCATGACTGACTCTGCGATATAAAAATCTGGCAACCTCAATCTTGACGCTTTGGCTCAGCTACAGCAAATTGCTTATAGTTTGAACAACACATGCTGGGAAAAGAACATTGCTCGATTGAGAAAATTGCTGAAACCGTTGTAGTGCGCGATTTGACTCACGTAGAGCTTTGAGTCTCTTGTAAGCGGGCAGTACAAATTCCTCGTAACGAACGTGAAATAAAAACGTTGATATCTTCGTTAGGAAATGGATTCAGTCATTTTCGTTGCGCGAATCGTGTTTTGCGTGCGACTGAATTTTTAAAAAATCTGATACGTTACTAAGTTTTTGTATCTTTCGTGCATTTCTGCCGCCGTATTGCAGCAAAATTGCAAGTTAGGACTCCATGGCCCGAATTCTTTCGATTGAAATGGGATGAAATCAACCTGCTCATCAAGCGAGTGGGAAAGAGAATTAAAATACCGGAGGAAAAAAGGGCGTGAGGCCGTCACCGAAACTTTTTTAATCTCGAACAAACAACACGACAACGAGACGAACCTGACGAAAGTTCACGGTAAACTTTTAATATGCAAATATTTTACTGTGTACACGGCGCAGTCACCAAATCGCGGACCACCCACCAAACGATGCGCGAGGAGCTAAGATATAACGCTGAAAACTAACAACGTTGCGCGGGGCATTTCCCGCCAAGATTTATTGCTTTTGTTTGGTTAATTTTTCGTGGCGTTTGTTTGAGGACTCAGGAGTGCAAACGAGATTCGACGTGAGCGAAACGTAGGTATTGATGGTTGAAAATTAAAATTAAAATTCTTAATCAGTGTATCCAGTGACGTTTTTAGACTGAGCATTAAGAGGAAGCAGAATTGAGGGACTTGGAGGACAAGGCGCATAAGTGCAGGCGCTATGATTTGCCAAAAGGAATCACGCCCACTTATACATTGTTTCTTATGCAAAGCTCTAGAGTTAACCCCATGTTTCCCATCCGTCTCTAGTTCTTTTTAGCATTGAGACGTCCGTTTCTTACGATCGGCTATGGAACACACCCCATGTTTCCCAAAAAACTTGATTTTTTTTTGTTAAGCTCGGTTCTTTTGAATTACCAAAGCAAAATGAGTATCACAAAGTGGTTTCGTTTTCCCCTAAGAATAAAGGCCCGACAATCAAAGGCGGATCCAGAAATTTGGCAACACCGGATTCCCTCCATTTAAACCTATGTTAAATAATCGATTCTTGTCGGAGCACCTGGCCCCTTCAAAAATCGATACTTTTTCATACTTTTAAATGGAGAAAAATAATGTTGTCAATTTGCTGGATCCGCCAATGCCGACAATTTTGATGAGTCACCATTGAGATGCGTGGCCAGGGGTGTTTCTCTCAAGTTGGCAAATCGATTTAGACTATAATACGAACATATACAATGACAAAGCCCAAAGCTGAAAAGTTACACCTACAGGCACTTAGAATTTTTATGAATTTCACTCTCCGGGTACGTAAAAGGTTGACGGCATACCTTGAATTAAGGTTGTTGTAGCGCATGTTGATCTGCTCTGTTGTTTTCTTGACGCGGGAGGTGTCGTCCTGCTGGTACACGGCCACCAACTGCTGGGTCAACTTGCTTAGTATGTCGATGTTGCTTTTGTACTGGTGCACTTCAGCGTGGAACGACTGAAAGGAAAAATTCAAAATTATTAGAATACAGTTCAAATCATCCTCGCTACCTACATTAAAAAGCATCAGCGCTACTCATTGGTATCAGTTCCTGATGATAGAGATAAAACTGATTATTATCAGACTCACACAGGAGTTCGAACTTGGTAGAGCCTGCTAGACCATCTGAGATTACCTAGATATGGAGAGTGCGAACACGTCGATAATTTTGAGGTTAGACGATGGAGCTCTTAGGGCCCAAAAGGGCGACCAATCTATGAATTCGGATTATCCGGAGTGATTTATGCTACAACCCGTCGTTCGTAAATCACATGTTCGACTTAGTTCTTGCGAAAATTTACACATTTTGGCACGGTGTGTTGGGAAATATGAAAACATCAGATTGCATATTTTATACTGTGGCCCTTGTTTCTGTTTTTGTCTCTTTGTTTTCTGTTTTTTTGTTTTCTGTTTTTTCTGTTTTTTCTATTCCTTTATACCCCCTCAAACTTAAAGCAGGGTCGCCACAACATTTAGATAATGAAAATCCCTGACATTTCCCTGATTTCTCTGACACATTTTGGGAAAATTCCGTTCCCTGACAATTGAGGATCTGTCAGATGGTTAAAAAGCAAGATTTAAAATAGTTTTCAGGCGAAATTTATTATTCAAAACGTCAAACCCACTCTGGAAAGGTAATAAAGGCGACTCGACAATTTTCCCTCACATTTTCGTCATCTTCCCTGACATTTCCAGGTTTTCCCTGACTTATTGAAATTTCCTGGAATTTCCCGGTTCACCCGGTATTCCCTGACTGTGGCTGTGGCTAGAGACGGTAAAAATTTCAAACATTACCTTCTGCTCTCTGATTTGGGTGTCGAGGACATCGGCGGTGTGTCCGACGGGCGGCATGCGGTCAAGCCGGGTTTCCATGCGGTTGAGCCACGCTTCTACCTCCTGCCGCTTCGAGTCGTAGCGCTGGCTGTCGCTCAACATGGCGTCCAGGGTCGCCTTCCTCTGCACCACTGCGTTGTTCGCCTCATCCCAGTGTTCTCGCAACTTGGTCACTGCACAATCACAAGAAAGAATCGTAAATAAACAGCCATTTCAAATGTAAAAATTAAGCTAAATACTTAAAATTGTGAGAGGGGGAAGGGGGTTCCCCTCAAACCTGTAACACGGGACCCTTCCATGAGCCCAGGGGTCGAATTTTTCCGACCCTTTCACAGTACTTAAATATACTTGGGAAACACACTCTGAGAAGAACATATAAAATAGATTAAGCAAAACTTTCGTTATCCTCCTACACATTTTCCAGTTTTCATTGGCTTTTCAGTATTTCCTAACACTTTTCAGTATTTCTTCAGTAAATCCAAACCAACTAGAGACACCGAGTTACAAAACTGCGAATTCTTTAAATCTAAATCCATGGTAAACTTTATGATAACTATGATTTTTTCTTCTTCTTAAGAACAAGTACAAGACGTGATTATATGGTTAATTAATCATACTTTGAGGCATTGCAGATTTGCCAGGTTGTGCGATAAAAAAAGAATAATTTACATGGGTTATAATCGAGGAAAAAGCTGATTTTTCAGCAGTATCTGGCAACTACGAGGCACTATCTCTACGTAAAATGAGGAGGGAAAAAAGCGTGATCCGGCTTGAAATCGGCCCTACATTGCAAAAGCTCAAAGTTCTAAATATTTACAGAAGTTAGGGAAACGAGGGAACAAATTCCAAAAGACTGACCTCGCTCGGGTTAAGTTAAGGGACAGTGGCGAGGCGTAGATGATCGATTATCGATATCTCCCTATTTGAAGCTATGGTAAAGAATCGATTATTAATGTGTTCGTTGCGAACACCCGTTCACCGATCCTTTTCCATTGGTTTAAATGGTAGATCAATCGATATATCGCATAGCACGCCACGCCACTGTTAAAAGAGTGACAGAGAAATAGATAAATCGTTTAGCGTTCAGCGATCTGGAGAGGGAAAGAAAATAAAATGCGCGAATTACACCGCTAAATCCGTCCGTAAATTCGATATCCCAAAGATTGAGTTGGATTTGGTCCTCGGAAACCGATGCGAGAAATGCTCCGTCTTTGATCCCCAGTGCGAGGGTCAGCCAACATATATTCATGAGGAAATCGTACGAAATTGCTTTCGAATGGATCGCTTTGTTATCGATGGATGTTAAAACTGCCGTGCTAAGGAAAAACGCCGTATGAACATTCAAGAGTTGCCAAATTTCCTGCGATAAAATGTTTATTTTTGAGGAAATCTGATAATAATTTTCCTTGAAATTTTCACACTATTTGGATCAAATTATTGAAAAATCGAAAGAAAAATATTTATAAGCATTCCTATGAATTCGTGATTTATCAAAGGAAATTTGGCAACGCCTAAAGGCTCATACGGCGTTCTTCCTTAGCATGACGGAAAACCTTAAAAGTCCATTTTCTGAGCTCTTTACGAATTCTTGTACCCTAGCGGTCATCAGAAAATTATAAAATATTCGATTTTGTCATCTTTTGTTTCATCTGCGGTGCCGTGAGAATGAATTTCAAGAGAGAGGGAAAGAGAAAATGGGGAAGTTGCAGCTGGAGTTTCCTTGGCTTTCAAAATTTCCTAACTTTCTCGTGACAGCTACGATTTGCTGCGAGAATATAGGCGATCTCCAAAGGACGTCGTGACATTTTTACGTCAGAATTTTACTTAGTCGTTAAGTCGTATTGATCGGTTGAGCTCCTTTCATAAAGTTCAGAGAAATGCGCGGTATCGAGGAGATAATGCCAACGAATAAGAGATCGGCTATCTAGGTCAACATAAAACTTTTAAGTCTGATGTAGTCTTTTTGAGATTATTATAATTCAGCATTAAGCGCGTGAGTTTCATAGACTTCATCCGAAAATGTGTTCATTGCTGTACTTTAGAGAATGTATACGACCAACAAAGGAGGGGTATCGACAAGGGCCTTTTTTGGCCCCCTAGGGCACATCATCTAACTAAAACCAAACCAGGGTTAAAACGTGTCCTGAAGCCTCCTTGATAACATATCAAAAGTTTGCTTAGTTAGACGATGGTGTCAAAAAAAGCCTAGGAGTAATAGAAAAACACGCATTTTTCGTTAAAATGCGCCTACAGGCCTATGTTCAGGCCAACACTGGAAAAAAAAACACATTGGATCTAGATCTAAAGTCCAGACTCTTAAAAACATCGACAAGAAAAAGTACTCTTGATTCCATCAGAATCTAGCTTAAATCAAGAACCGGGCCTCTTAATTTAAGCGGATTTCGTTTTGATTCAAGCAAAAATTCGATTGAATCAAGAGTATTTTTTCTTGTCAATGTTTTAAAGAGTCTGGACTCTAGATCTAATGTGTTTTTTTTTTCCAGTGAACCGTTTAATGCGTATCCGGTGGCCTATGGACCAAATCATGATTATTTCCGTAAACTACATTGAGTCAATTTGGAAAACACGCATAGATTTCCAGATTCTAGGGGGAGGAGGAGGGAAGGCCCTTATCGATACCCCTCCATTTTCATTGATTCCAATACATTTTTCCAAAGTTTCCTTGATGCCAAAAGAGTGCCCTGATAATTCTCGATTTTCTAGATGGGAAGAGATCCTGTCTGTGAACCAACATGCCACCAATTCAATCATGCTTGGGTGCAGAAACGGACCAAGAAAAACCCTTTGTTAGGATGAACCTCATGCTTCGACCAATTCAGGGAATTACAGACCCCCGACGATTTTGTTACGGCAATCAAGACGAAGCGAGAGAAAATTACATGTGAGTTAACAGTGTGATTCTCGTAAGTAGGCAACTTTGGATTCCCGCTCACCTGGATGCGTCTTGTCTAAAAAAATATTTGTTTTTCAAGACAGGCTGCCTCGCACAGGATCGATTACTTACAATTCATTACAGGGAGGAACACAATGTTACCAACTTACAAAAACCACCACTGCGAGTTAAAAAAATAAAAAAAAAGAATGATGGACTAATAGCTGAATAAACGGATGGATGAATGAATGAATGATAGTGCAGGGTGTCCCGAATCGAAAGGCGGATATCACTGGAAAAAAACACATTGGATCTAGAGTCCAGACTCTTGAAAACATGGACAAGAAAAAATACTCTTGATTCAATCAGATTTAAGCTTAAATCAGAAGGAAATCCGCTCAAATTAAGAGGCTTAGTTCTTGATTTAATCAAAAATCCGATTGAATCAAGAGTATTTTTTCTTGTCGGTGTTTTTAAGAGTCTGGACTCTAGATCCAATGTGTTTTTTTTCCAGTGATTCCTTCATTATTTAGACGAATGAACGACTCTCTACATCATGGATTTTTACGAATTGCCTTAAGAAAAATGTTAATTGTTTTGTTACAATTGTCTTAATTTTTGTTAGGAATCCACATTGGCAGATCCGCCAATAAGACAACACTGTTTTTCTCCATTTAAATCTATGGAAATACATCGATTCTTGGAGGGGCCAGGTACTCCGACAAGAATCGACCTATTGACATACGTTTAAATGGAGGATTGCCAGTGTTGCAAAAATGCTGAATCCACCTCTGGAAATCCACAGAATAATCAGTATGATTCCTAACTAAGAATGGAGTAAAGAGGAGATTTAATTAAAATGTGGGTAAACAAGGCTAAAAAATTATTAAAACACTAAAAGGCAGGACGTTTTGAGCTGTTACCAGCTCATTTTCAGCTGCAAAAACACATAAAAACAAGTAAAAAATTGAGTGGCGACCTGACCCCAGCCGNAGTGGTTACGTGATAACGGCTGAGGTCAGGTCGCCACTCAATTTTTTACTTGTTTTTTTGTGTTTTTGCAGCTGAAAATGAGGTGGTAACAGCTCGAAACGTCCTGCCTTTTAGTGTTTTAATAAATTTTTAGCCTTGTTTACCCATATTTTAATTAAATCTCCTCTTTATTCGTATATTCGGACTATGTTTTTTTGTGCTTTATCCTAAGAATGGAGTAAAGAATAGTCATTTTGATATGACAAGTCAGTTCCTGGTGTATTTGCATTTCGATTCGGAGCATTCTGTTTAATTATGCTGAAAGGTCCCAAAACTTAATGAATGAATAAATGAATGAATGGTTGGTTGAATGAGTGAAAGAATGATTGAATGAATGATTGAATGAATGATTGAGTGAAAGACCACGCCACGCAACGCCACTCCACGCGCACGCAAAAAATCAGTCATTTGTTTACCTTTTATTATCTCTCGCAGATGTAACAACGCACTATCGTTCCTAAATACTGAAAACACACACAATTGATGATGAAATAACTGATTCCATAAAATTAGCGTTGTGACTTAAACTAGAAATTCAGGTTGCTCCTAAAATCTGCCTCGCCAATTTGAAAATTTTCACTGCGATCCTTCCCTCCGACCTTGGTTTCCTCTTCTTCGCTTGTTCTTAACATATTTTCCCATTTATCTCTACTCAACTCATAAAATCTCTCTTCGTCATTTTCTCCTTTCAATTCTCTACTTTTTTGGGTGAAGTTGACACCTAGATCTTGCAATTTTCTAACTTTTTCTTGACTCTTTAAGGGATTTGAAGGTAAGATTCCCCAACTTCTCGGGCAGTTTGAACATGAAAATCCTACTTACAGGTTACATTTGAGACGCACTTTGAGATCTGCCAAAGGAGCAAAAAAAAAAAAAATAGTTGGTAGGAACCATCGTCTTTTTTTTAGACTTTCAAGCACAAGTGTGTGTATGTATAAGCCGCTTTCATGGCGCGCTAAGGCGCTCCAAAAATCCAAATTTTGGAAGTTTTCAAATGATCGGCTCTTTTTCTAGAATCTCAAAATTCCCGGAAGTTTCAGCTATTTTCGGAATTTTTCGGAATTTTGTGGTTTTCCGTCACTTTGACCTATTATTTGATCAAATTTGAGGAATTTTTGATAAAATTAGACAGTCTCTGGAGCTAAGTCCGGGCGTATTTCGGAATTTTTCCCCGGAAATTTTGAAAAATCGGAATTATTCTCGGAAATTTTGAAAAATCGGAATTATTCTCGGAAATTCGGGAAATTGGAATAAATTCCAGGAACCTCGGAACCTTTATTAAAATAAAATGGCAGCACTGAAAATTTGCCCAAACATCCTCCCGACCGTTTTCATGCAAACGATTAAGCTACCCGATTTGTTTTCTTTACTCTGCAATTAACTGCAGTCCATGTATTTATATTCTTGTAATCATTGATAATAAAGGTCAAATAAAACAAAAAACAAAAAAACATGCCAATAGCTGATGTGGCTTGGTTCCTTCCTGCTTACCGCGGTTCAATCGGGGACGAGCGAAACAAAAACTCAACCGAGTAGAATCGGCTGGCGGATTGAGATGCGAACAGAGGTTTGTTTACTTTTTCTCACGCACGTCACGCCGGGGCTTCGTGACNTAGCATGGGGGGGGGGGGGGGTCATTCATCGGGCGGGAGCCGCGACTCGGTCGATGATCGGGGGAGCCCACTCCGGGGGCCGACCCCCCGGGCCCCGCCACCGCGGTCGCCCCGGGTTAATAATAACACCGACACCGGCCGCACCGCACAGTGGACCGTGTCAATCGGAGAGGTCGCACATGAAAATTTTGCAAATGGAGATGTTGCATGTGTGAGGAATTTGCGATTTGACCGTCGATTCTTACGTAAAAGTTCGCGAGAAACACGATGGTGCCACTGGTTTTCTCTGAAATCAACTCCCAAGCTCAAAAAAATCTCTCAAGTTGAGGCCAAAATGGAGGGGATATCCCACCCTACCCTGACAGTCCACCTCTACATCAAAACAAACTCTCCATGCAAAGATAGGGAGCAAATACATTAGCAGTGATGCCGTGTTTTCAGTTTTGGAGTCCCCAAATAAAGTGGCAGCCCTGTCAATGTATTTTCTCCCTATCATTGCATGGAGAGTTTGTTTTGATGCAGAGGTGGACTCTCAGGGTAGGTGGGATATCCCCTCCATTTTGGCCTCAACTTGAGAGCTTTTTTTGAGCTTG